CCCAAACATCACGAGAACCCAGACATCACGAGAACCCAAACATCAGCAGAACCCAAACATCACGAGAACCCAAACATCACGAGAACCCAGACATCACGAGAACCCAAACATCACGAGAACCCAAACATCACGAGAACCCAGACATCACGAGAACCCAAACATCAGCAGAACCCAAACATCACGAGAACCCAAACATCACGAGAACCCAGACATCACGAGAACCCAAACATCACGAGAACCCAAACATCACGAGAACCCAAACATCACGAGAACCCAAACATCAGCAGAACCCAAACATCACGAGAACCCAAACATCACGAGAACCCAAACATCACGAGAACCCAAACATCACGAGAACCCAAACATCACGAGAACCCAAACATCACGAGAACCCAAACATCAGCAGAACCCAGACATCACGAGAACCCAAACATCTTCAGAACCCAAACATCACGAGAACCCAGACATCAGCAGAACCCAGACATCTTCAGAACCCAACATCTTCAGAACCCAAACATCACGAGAACCCAGACATCAGCAGAACCCAACATCTTCAGAACCCAAACATCTTCAGAACCCAAACATCAGCAGAACCCAAACATCACGAACCCAGACATCACGAGAACCCAACATCTCAGAACCCAAACATCATCAGAACCCAAACATCACAGAACCCAAACATCACGAGAACCCAAATATCAGCAGAACCCAAACATCACGAGAACCCAACATCACGAGAACCCAAACATCACAGAACCCAACATCACGAGAACCCAAACATCACAAGAACCCAAACATCACGAGAACCCAGACATCTTCAGAACCCAAACATCAGCAGAACCCAAACATCACGAGAACCCAAACATCAGCAGAACCCAGACATCACGAGAACCCAAACATCACGAGAACCCAAACATCACGAGAACCCAGACATCACGAGAACCCAAACATCAGCAGAACCCAAACATCACGAGAACCCAAACATCACGAGAACCCAAACATCACGAGAACCCAAACATCACAGAACCCAACATCACGAGAACCCAAACATCTTCAGAACCCAAACATCACGAGAACCCAACATCAGCAGAACCCAGACATCTCAGAACCCAAACATCTTCAGAACCCAAACATCACGAGAACCCAGACATCAGCAGAACCCAGACATCTTCAGAACCCAAACATCTTCAGAACCCAAACATCAGCAGAACCCAGACATCACGAGAACCCAGACATCACGAGAACCCAAACATCTTCAGAACCCAAACATCATGAGAACCCAAACATCTTCAGAACCCAAACATCACGAGAACCCAATATCAGCAGAACCCAAACATCACGAGAACCCAAACATCACGAGAACCCAAACATCTTCAGAACCCAAACATCACGAGAACCCAAACATCACAAGAACCCAAACATCACGAGAACCCAGACATCTTCAGAACCCAAACATCAGCAGAACCCAAACATCACGAGAACCCAAACATCAGCAGAACCCAGACATCACGAGAACCCAAACATCAGCAGAACCCAAACATCACGAGAACCCAAACATCACGAGAACCCAAACATCTTCAGAACCCAAACATCACGAGAACCCAAACATCACAAGAACCCAAACATCACGAGAACCCAAACATCTTCAGAACCCAAGCATCACGAGAACCCAGATATCACGAGAACCCAAACATCTTCAGAACCTAAACATCACGAGAACCCAGACATCAGCAGAACCCAAACATCTTCAGAACCCAAACATCACGAGAACCCAAACATCTTCAGAACCCAAACATCACGAGAACCCAGACATCAGCAGAACCCAAACATCACGAGAACCCAGACATCAGCAGAACCCAAACATCTTCAGAAAACAAACATCTTCAGAACCCAAACATCAGCAGAACCAAAACATCTTCAGAAAACAAACATCTTCAGAACCCAAACATCTTCAGAACCCAAACATCACGAGAACCCAAACATCAGCAGAACCAAAATATCTCCAGAAAACAAACATCTCAGAACCCAAACATCTTCAGAACCCAAACATCAGCAGAACCCAAACATCACAAGAACCCAAACATCATCAGAACCCAAACATCTTCAGAAAACAAACATCTTCAGAACCCAAACATCACGAGAACCCAAACATCAGCAGAACCCAAACATCACAAGAACCCAAACATCATCAGAACCCAAACATCTTCAGAAAACAAACATCTTCAGAACCCAAACATCACCAGACACACACCAACACACAACACACAAACACACACACACGCACACAAACACACAACACACAAACATACACACACACACACACACACAAACACACCAACACACAAACATACACCAACACACACACACACAAACATAAACACACACACACACACACACACAAACACACCAACACACACACACACAAACATACACACACACACACACACATACAACACACACACACACACAAACACACCAACACACACACATACAACACACACACACATACAACACACACACACACATACATACAACACACACACACACACAAACACACACACACACACACACACACCAACACACAACACACAACACACACACACAAACACACACACACACACACACACACGCACACACACACAACACACCAACACACAAACACACACACACACACACATACATACAACACACCAACACAGTGAGGAGTGAAATAGAAGACATTAGAGTGAACTTCTTCACTCTGCAGGTTCATAAACATCATAACTTATTATGGGATGTTTTCTTTTCCACGTTTCTTTATTGTAAACTTGTTTTTGTTTTTGCAGCTTCAGGCTTCCATAGCTCTCTCAGACAGGGAAGGCGTGTCAGACGGAGGACGGGTGGTGAACAGGCTGTAAAGAATGTGGAGGAGCAGAAACAAAGCTGAAGAGATCTTTACCATTTATCTTGTTTGTTCATCAGTTATTATCTCCACCAAGGTTCTCAAAAGGTTTCAACACACTCAGAGTTTTAAAGATACAATCTGTTTCTTTATTGATCCAAAGAATCAAGAAAAAACTTTACCAACATCTGTTTCCTAAGCAGATGTTTAGTTTAGTTTATCAGGATCCTCATTAGCTGCAGCATAGTAACCTCCTGGGGTTCACACAACAGACTTTACATAGTGACAACACGTCATTACACATCACATTGATCATAAACAGGACAAGACTAGGACAGACAAAAAGGTGAGAAGGAGAGGACTCGAACTACCTAAGGTTTCCATTTCCTGCACCCTGACTGCTCAGAAACATCAGCAATGTTTGGATTAATGTGTCAAACGTTACCGATCTTTATTTACAACTTGGACCGTGTGCAGGAGTCTGTCTGCAAGGTTTGACAACAATACATTCACCAATATTTGGCGTCCTCGATTGACCTGTTGCCAATGTTTTTATGCAATTAAGACAATGTGCAGGAGTTTCCTGCCATTTTTGACATTTGAAGACAAGAACACTGTCCAATCTCGGGGCGCCTGTGGCTTAGTGGTTGGTGCATGTGTCCCCTATGCAGACGCTATAGTCCTCCAAGGGGACGGCCTGGGTTCAAATACCGACCTGTGGGTCCTTTACCGCATGTGAACCCCCCCGTCTCTCGGCAAGAAAAGCCCAAAAACAAATCTTTAAAAAAAAATCTCAGGTGTCGTGGATTTGATACGGTTTGTTTCCATGGTATCAAACAGGTGTGTATGTTGTTTGGTTTAAATTAGAATCATATCAAAGTCTAAACATCTGGTATCAGATTGTTCAGACTGTCAGCTGCTCTCTAAGTGTATAAACATACATTACACATAGATGTATACATGATCTATGTATATAGATCTATGTAAAGTGTGTTTGTGTGTCCCTTCAGAGTGAGGAAGCTCGGTCTCTGACGTGGACTGGTCTCTGAGGAAGCAGCTGCTCAGTGAACAAAGAGCTGCGATCGGCTCGGAGAATCCCTCTCATGAATCTGCACACTTAGATTCTTTCACGCTGAAACTTCAGAGGAGACGACGCTCTCAGCCTCCTCTGTCGTCTTCACGTCAGATCTCAGAGGTTTAAAGAGTCTTCTTCTGAAAGAAAACGATGAGATTGAGGTCAGAGTGAGGAGGGAGCACATGGCAGAGACGAGGATTACATAAGAGTCCAGGACGAGGAGGAGGAGGAGCTACAGACTCCTCTGTCTGTTCCTGCAGGACGAGCTCTCCTCTCTCACTCATTGTTGTCTGACTCTGTGTGAGGCTGCTGCCCCCTGCTGGTGACTGATGGAAACACAGTGAACATGTATGTGTGTATGGATCATCTAACATCTTTATCTGCATTCAGAAAGTCTGGACTGTGAAGTGAAAACTGTGTGAAACATGAACAGACTTTCTGTAAGAATGACATTTTTTAAATAAAGTTTCTGATGTTTGAAGATCAAAACTGCATTAATCACACACTCTCTCATATGAAACACCTTCAACAGTCTGAGACACTTTAACTGTGAACAAACATCTTCAGTATTCATCCTTATGTGACCATGTTTCTTCTGTCAGACGATTCTTCACATCCAGGAAGGATTTATGTTTGTCCAGGAAGGATTTATGTTTGTATCAAAAAACACCAGATTTAAAGGAAGAATGTGCGACATGTTCCACATAAATAAATCAGAGATCAGGTCTCTCCTGTGTAAATGTCTCTATGAGTCATGACTGTCTAAAATGAGTGAAAAGCTTGAGTCCTGCTGGCTGTGTTGTTGTCAGAGCCGTGTTTGTCCCGCCACATGATGACGAGTATGACATCAATTCGAACACCTCATTCTGTCTCCAAGTTCCCGAGTTTTTCCGACTTGAGCAGTCATGTTTATTGAACTGATCCTGGTCCTGATCCTGATCCTGAGACTCTCTCTCAGCGGGGCCTGCTGCTGACCCCTCAGCCTGTCACATGTTCACTCACACAGCTTTAGTCCTAAATTAAAATAAAAGTCCAGACCAATACTCGGGTACTTTATCAGAGTCATTTTATTATTTCCAGTTGTTTTAACGTTCACGTTTTTAAAGAGCAGAAAGATAAACAGACATGATGTTAATCATCGTCTCCTCCACAGAGCTTTAGCAGAATCTTTTTATAATCTCCTCCAACGTCAGACTGAAACACAAACAGGCTTACATTACTGATTACCCTCTGCACACTTTATTCACATGCACCTCTAATAGACAGCAGAGTCCTGAATCAGTGAAGACAGAGAGAGATGGGTAATGAGGACTCAGGTGAGTCAGTGAAGACAGAGAGAGAAGGGTACCGAGGACTCAGGTGAGTTAGTGAAGGAACAGAGAGAGAAGGGTACCGAGGACTCAGGTGAGTTAGTGAAGGAACAGAGAGAGATGGGTACCGAGGACTCAGGTGAGTTAGTGAAGACAGAGAGAGAAGGGTACCGAGGACTCAGGTGAGTTAGTGAAGACAGAGAGAGAAGGGTACCGAGGACTCAGGTGAGTTAGTGAAGGAACAGAGAGAGATGGGTACTGAGGGTTCAGGTGAGTCAGTGAAGACAGAGAGAGAAGGGTACCGAGGACTCAGGTGAGTTAGTGAAGACAGAGAGAGAAGGGTACTGAGGGTTCAGGTGAGCTCAGGTGTGTTAGTCGTCTCCTCCACAGATCAGCTTCAGAGCGTCCCCGTGCTCCCCCGACAGATCAGACTGTAACACATAAACACAACAGGAGAAAGAGTCCCCAAGTAGACAGATAGACAGACAGGCAGACAGACAGGCAGACAGACAGACAGGCAGGCAGACAGACAGACAGACAGATGGTTTGAGACAGTTTCAGACAGTTTCAGACTGTTTCAGACAGTTTCAGACCGTTTCAGACAGTTTCAGACAGTTTCAGACGTTTTCCGACTGTTTCAGACGGTTTCAGACGGTTTCAGACTGTTTCAGGCCGTTTCAGACTGTTTCAGACCGTTTCAGATTGTTTCAGACTGTTTCAGACAGTTTCAGACCGTTTCAGACATTTTGGGACTGTCTCAGATAGTTTCAGACTTTCTGAGATGGTTTAGGACCGGTTGAGACCAATTGAGACCATCTCAGACCGTTTGTGACTGTATAAGATGTCTCGGACTGTTTCAGACCATCTAAGACTGTCTCAAACTGCTTAACACTGTTTAAAACAGTTTCAGACAGTTTAATCCTCTGATCACAGAGTCAGTGTGTTGTTGTTTCTGTAAACTGTTTAAAGAGGTTTAAATAAAGATCTGATAAAATGGACAGAGTTCAGACTTCCTTCTCAAAGGTTACTTTAACAGTAAAGAGTTCTGTTCTCACCTCGATGGCCGAGTGCAGCGAGTACTCGTACAGCTTCTTAAACTCTGCTCGGATGTCCAGCAGGTCAATCTCAGACCGACTCACCATGACCCTGTTCAGAGTCGACTCGTCTGTTCCACCGCCCTGAACACACACACACACACACACACACAAACAGTGCACATTATAAACTCCTCCTTATGGTTCTTGTTCAAAGTCACACATACCCAGAGCTGCTAACATGTCCTCCCTGCTGATCAGAGTCTTATTATGGGATTTAATTTCTCAAAATAACTGAACACACGTTTTCAGCTCACCTTCATGCTGTGATAGAGAAGCTCTGCAAAGTAAGCCGGGGCACTCTTCACACACTTCACTGCAGAACGACATCAACAACAACAACAACACAGTGTGGTTAAACACAATAACAGCTAAATTTGATGGGAATGACAGGAAGAGCTGGGTATTGTCAGTATAGCAGTGGTATGAGAAACCATGAGAGTGGATTATAGAACCAAGTGAGCTGGAGAATGGAGAAGAGAAGGGGGCCGATCACAGAGCCCTGAGGCACCCCTGTGGATAACTATCCCTGAGAGGTAAGACAGGGACCAGCAGAGGGCAGATCCTGAAATGCTCGACTCCTCTGTGATTTCAAGATTCATCCTCAAACTTCTAGCCTCATACAATATGTAAAAAAACAATTCTGTATAATAAAGTCATTATGAGGCTCGTTAGTGACTTCATAAACCCAGTGACTCACCTATCGCCACCAGCAGCTCCTGCAGATCTCCAGACATTTCTCCCTCGATGCTCTCCTGCAGAGTCTTTCCACTGATGTTCTTATATTCCACAAGAGCTAAGATCACACACAGGGAAACATATTTACTCACACACAGGGAACTATAACTCTTAGATCAAACATAGGGAAACATAGATGAGAATACGTTCTGAAATCCAATGCAGGTTAAAACATGTTTGAAAGATGACCTACTCTGTCTGAGCTGAGGTATGCTCCTATGACAGAGGATTTCAATAAACTTAGACTCATCGGTTCCCCACTTCTTCTCCCCAGCTTCATAAAGGGTCTGAAGAGAAGGAAGTTAAACTGTTAGAATGAACTCAACATAAAAACGATCTGCATGAACATGTGTTCTTGAAGATGTGTCTGAGACGTATCACCTTGGCGTCTTCTTTAGCCTTCTGTGTATCCACAGTGGTGCTCTCGTCCCTCTGACCCTGAAATCACAAACCAAATCCAACTCAGGGAACTGACTCTAATCCTCTGAAACACGATAAAAATAAAGAAGTGCTCCTTCACTTATATTTGACTGACCTTGGCCAGCACGAGCAGAGCATCGCCGAAGTCTCCGGAAATTTCGGACTTCATGTCGAGGGTCACCATCTTCTCCGTTTCTGTGGATGCAAACATCAGAGACAAAGTGACGATGCTGATATCTTACAAAGGAAAGAGTGACACAACAATAAGTTCAAAGTTCAACTCACAGGTCACATCTGCTGATCAAGGTAGACTTTCATTTACCTGTCAGGTAGACCTCTATTTATCTGTCAGGTAGACCTTTATTTATCTGTCAGGTAGACCTTTATTTATCTTTCAGGTAGACCTTTATTTACCTGTCAGGTAGACCTTTATTTACCTGTCAGGTAGACCTTTATTTACCTGTCAGGTAGACCTCTATTTATCTTTCAGGTAGACCTTTATTTACCTGTCAGGTAGACCTCTATTTATCTTTCAGGTAGACCTTTATTTACCTGTCAGGTAGACCTCTATTTATCTTTCAGGTAGACCTTTATTTACCTGTCAGGTAGACCTCTATTTATTTGTCAGGTAGACCTTTATTTACCTGTCAGGTAGGCCTCGTTGAGAGCTTGGATCTGTTCGTTGGATCTGGAGGCAAAGATCTCGATCAGGACGCTTTCTACAGTCCCTCCTCCCTAAAAGAAACAGGATTTACAGATGTTACAGGTGTTACTGATGTTACAGGTGTTACTGATGTTAAAGGTGTTACAGATGTTACTGATTTTAAGGTGTTAAAGGTGTTACAGATGTTAAAGGTGTTTCAGGTGTTACAGGTATTAAAGGTGTAACAGGTGTAACAGATGTTACTGATTTTAAGGTGTTAAAGGTGTTACAGATGTTAAAGGTGTTTCAGGTGTTACAGGTATTAAAGGTGTAACAGGTGTAACAGATGTTACTGATTTTAAGGTGTTAAAGGTGTTACAGATGTTAAAGGTGTTACAGGTGTTACAGGTATTAAAGGTGTTACAGATGTTAAAGATGTTACAGGTGTTACAGGTATTAAAGGTGTTACAGGTGTTACAGATGTTACAGGTATTAAAGGTGTTAAAGGTGTTACAGGTGTTACAGGTATTAAAGGTGTTACAGATGTTAAAGATGTTACAGGTGTTACAGGTATTAAAGGTGTTACAGGTGTTACAGATGTTACAGGTATTAAAGGTGTTACAGGTGTTACAGGTATTAAAGGGGTTACAGATGTTACAGGTATTAAAGGCGTTACAGGTGTTACAGGTATTAAAGGGGTTACAGATGTTAAAGATGTTACAGATGTTACAGGTGTTTCAGGTGTTACAGGTATTAAAGGTGTTACAGGTGTAACAGATGTTACTGATTTTAAGATGTTAAAGGGGTTACAGATGTTACAGTTTTTAAATCCATCTTTGTTCTCTCAAAGAGAGTGTGTGAAGATTTAATTTAAAGGCCTCAGAGTTTAAATTAAATAAATAAAGAATACATCTGACCTTCATGGCTCTCATCACTTCATGACAGTCGTACACTGCAGGAGGCGTCGCCAGCGCCACCAACAGATCCTCAAAGTCCCCGCCAGTTTCTCCTTTCAGGTCGTCCACCAATGCCTGGAACACACACATTCACACACACACACACACACGCACACAGACAGACACACACGAACACACGCACACACCCTTTTTAATTCAAATCACCACCACACCCATGCAAATACACAAAGAGCTCAGGCCGACGCCCACACAGAGGCACCTCACTCACAAAGAGGAAATTTTTTTTTGCACAAGACACCAGGTTCACATAAACAAAACGTTTAGCAATGTTAACTTAAATTATTTGATATATTTCAAACATTTTAAATGTCAGGTTCATTGGCGATTATTAAGATCAGACATAACTCATCTTATACTTCATTCAGTCTGTTCCATGCTTAGTGAAGTGGAGCTACAGAAACCTGGAGCAGAACCAGACACACCAGGTCAAAAGAACTACTGAGCATGCTCCGAACCTCTAGTACAGTTTGGTTCTGATTGATACATTATCCAGGAATTGGAATTTAATAGATTTTTTCCCCGGGAGGATCAGATAATACAGATAATACTGGAGTGTGACTGACAGCAGAGATATCAAAATGAATAAATGAATTACTTACTGTGCCTGTGGTCGCCTCATAAGCCTCACTGATGAGCTGTCTCTGAGCATTGGTCCTGCGGGTCAGGATGTCGATCAGAGTCTTCTCATTGGTGCCTGGAACACAACAGGACACGAGGACACATGAGGACACATCAGGTCACATCAGGACACAAGAGGACACAACAGGACACAAGAGGACATATCAGGACATTTCAGGATGTATCAGGACACATGAGGACACATCAGGTCACATCAGGACACAACAGGACACAAGAGGACACAAGAGGACACAAGAGGACACATCAGGACAAATGAGGATTCATCATGACACATCAGGACAAATGAGGACACGAGGACACACAATTGCGTGCGTGCATACCAATTCCTTCCATGGCCTTCTTCAGAGCCTCAGCATCGTCTCCAGCATCAAAGTGAGCTTTGGGTTTGATGGTTCCTCTCTCACCGTCCTGAAGAACAACACGACTTTATTCATGTTTTCTTTATTCAATTGTTATTCCGACAGCATTTTTCCACTTTAATTAAAGGACTTACTTTAGCAGAGAAGGATGAAGGTTTGTTCACCAGGTCGTCCAGGTCGTCCTGCACAGCGGACATGTTTGATTTAAAATCTCACCATGAAATAAAAACACGTGTTCTTACCGAGTCATATGATTTGAAGCTTTAATATCTTTAACAAACACGGCCTGGGTTTGGGTGGTTAAAGTTCTGATCAGAGTTTCATCTGGGTGGAACATGATTGATGAGTTTATAATTTATATAAAGAGATTTTTACCCAGCACAGAAAACGTTACTCACCCATAAAGAAGCCATGATGATGACAGGAGGGTCCTCTGTAAAAACAAAAATCTGTTGTAACCATGACAACCACAGACTCATTCTGCTGAAAGTCACCCGTCAACACATGGACTCTTAATACGGTAACACCGACTTTGACAAAGATCACGTCAGAAGCTCTGATCGTCAACAGATGCACAGTGTCAACAAAGGGGGAGGAGCTAACAGCACTGTGTGTGTTTTATGACACTGCAGTTTCACTCAGAGACCTTCAGTGGGCACCAAAGTGCTCTTAAACTGAATCCTAGATGCTGTTGCTTTAAAAGGTCACATGATGCAAAATCCAAAATTCCACCCTCTCCTTCTCACCGTAAACAATAGGACATGGAGCAAGAAAGCCAGAGACACCCAAGCACTTACAGAGAGGGGGCGTGGTCAGACACAGCTCATTTACATATTTAAAGGTACAGACACAGAAACAGTCTGTTCTGAGCAGGGCTGAAATAGAGGGGTTTGTAAACATGACCAAATACAGGGATCAGAGTGAATTTAGAACAAGAAACTTCACACACATGTTTAGAGGAGCTCTGAGACTTATTTACACTGAAGAAGAGGAGGAGGATATGTCACCTTTAAATACAAACCCTTAATCCTGATTAAAACAAAGTACCGATAGTGATGTTGGTCTGAAAAGTTTTATTAACAATGAAGCAACATTTGTTAATTTAAGCATTAAAGTTTCTCTCGATGACTCATCACTTTATTTACCTTCATGATCAGCTGACTGTAATAATTTATTTCTGCTTCTTAAAAACTGAGAGGTGATATCGAGGCAGGTACGATCTGAGAGAAGTACTGACGGGTTCAGAGAGGAGGGATAAAGATACTGTCACAATCTAAGGAAATCTATCGACCTGTTTCAAGACATTAAGTTAAAGTGAGGTGTCACTCAGCTGATGATGATGTCATGATCAACCTGCTTCACCTGAACAAACCTCCTACCCTTGTATTTAACGTTGAATCAGCTGATAGTGAAGGAAAATAAAAACAACATGAACAGGAATCAAAGAAACTAAACAAATGTGAGTGAAGAAGAAGATAAGCTGAAACTTACCTGATTTTTGTCTGAACAGGAAACTTGTTCCGCCACACCTGTGCTCTGTGGAAATCTACCTGAGAGTCCTTTGGCCACGCCCACTCTGCCTATACAGGGAAGGTGCTGCCTTCAGGCACAACTGGTAAATTTCATACATACATTCATTCTGTAGAGGAGCTTGTCTGTTTTTCTCTTCAGATTTCTCACCTGTGTCTTTAGTCTCACCTGTGTCGTTAGTCTCACCTGTGTCGTTAGTCTCACCTGTCTCTTAAGTCTCACCTGTGTCTTTAGTCTCATCTGTCTCTTTAGTCTCACTTGTGTCTTTAGTCTCACCTGTGTCTTTAGTCTCACCTGTGTCTTTAGTCTCACCTGTCTCGCTAGTCTCACCTGTCTCTTAAGTCTCACCTGTGTCTTTAGTCTCACCTGTGTCTTTAGTCTCACCTGTCTCTTAAGTCTCACCTGTCTCTTTAAGTCTCACCTGTGTCTTTAGTCTCACCTGTCTCGTTAGTCTCACCTGTCTCTTAAGTCTCACCTGTGTCTTTAGTCTCACCTGTGTCTTTAGTCTCACCTGTCTCTTAGTCTCACCTGTGTCTTTAGTCTCACCTGTCTCTTAAGTCTCACCTGTGTCTTTAGTCTCACCTGTCTCTTTAGACTCACCTGTCTCTTTAGTCTCACCTGTGTCCATATCTTCAACCAGGTCCAGCTGCCTTTGGATGAAGTTAATTCACCATGACCTGGATGTCGGAGAACCTGCACAGACTTCTTACCGAGTTCATATTTAACTTTGCTCGTTTGATCGAGTACTAACTTATTTATTTTGACACATCCTGTTGTTGCAGATGCACCTGATATTCCCTGCAGTTCACCAAACGTCCACCAGTGTCACTAGAAACAACAGTCCTTTCACATTCACCGCAGCTCTTTAAAGGCTTTATATGCGGTTTTTCACACTTAAATGTAGAAATCAAGTATATCCTCTGAAAATAACTCTGTGAGTCATGACTGTCTACAATGGGTGTAACACCCGAGTCCCACTGTCTGTGATGTTTTCAGAGTTTTCAGAGTCCTTTCTTCACTTTGTTTACATCGCCTGGACGGCCAGCTGACTCCTCCCCTCACGTATAAAAGTTGTTAATTGAAGGACTAGAGAAAAGAAGAATAACATACTGTACTCACTGCTTAACTGTGTTTCTAGATCACGCTCATTTCAGGTAAATTTACATGCAGTGTGAAGATACCAGCAATAAAGATCGCTAGCATTAGCATGCTAACACAACAATGCAGCGCAAGTTGTTTTGGTTTCATGCTGGTGCTCAAGGGCGACATCTGCTGGATCAAAAATCACATATAAAGCCTTTAAAGAACAAAAATAAAAACACCAAACTCAGAACATTTTCATGTTTCCATTTTTATTACTAAAAAAGGC